AGTACGAAGAAGTACAGAGAAGTACCAAGAAGTACGAAGAAGTACGAAGAAGTACAGAGAAGTACCGAGAAGTACCAAGAAGTACCAAGAAGTACGAAAGAAGTACAGAGAAGTACCGAGAAGCACGAAGAATTACAGAGAAGTACGTGGAAGTACAGAAGTACGCTGGTTCCCCCTTGATTGTTTCAAACTTTCTCGACCTCTCGGGTTTGAACACCTGAATTAGTTTCACATGTATTATGCACCACTCGACAGAGCTCATGGAAATATATCAAATGAGCCAGATTTCATAAGTGGCTCAGCTCGCTGAGGGAATCGTCAGATGAAATACGGGTTGTAAACCTGATTTCCAATTTTTCACGAACCCTAATCACTGCGATTTCTTGTTGTTTGAAAGAAAAACATACCAATCGATAGAGCTCGTCGAGCTGCATCGAATAAGCGAAGTATCAGAAGCGGCTCACCTTGTAGAGCGAATCGTTATGGAAAAAAACTTTTTAAAGACTTTTTTCTATAGGAAAAAATCAATGTTTTTGGTTTTATTTTTGTTGGTTAGGTTTTGTAAAAAATCTGAATACACCATTGGATAGAGCTCGTCGAGTTGCATCTGGCTCACCGCATTCCTCACTTGGTTCAGTCAATGGGCCGAATTGTTTTTGAAAAAAATGGAATCGGCTGCGGACTTTCGTTACATCGTCGATTATTGTTTCATATTAGTTTTTATTTCTAAGTAGTGTCGACATCGATTCGAGGGTGTGAGTGTGGGTGTGGGTTGGTGTGGTGTGTGGGTGTTGGTTTTCTCTTTGTCTGCACCCACACCCTCTTTCAGTTGACCCGAATATGACAATGTTTTGTCCTTACAATAGCGAAGAAACCGCTTCGTCGGATCTGATTGGTCGATTATCAATCAATCAGCTTTAGTATCCCAGCTTTTCCTCAAACATTCCGGGTGATGCCTCTAGCATCCTGGATGATGCTATGTATCCCCGTATTGTAAGACTTGAGGACCCAAGGATATCTCCTTATAGTAGGATTTGAGGACCTAAGGGTACCCTCTTATAGTAGCACTTGAGGACCTGAGGGTATTCAAGGGGGAAACAGCAGAGACTTCAGCCGTGGAGCCTCATGAAGTCTTGAAAGTCCTTCGGAAGTCTTATGAAGCCTCATGAATTCTCATAAAGTCTCTTGAAGTCTCTGAAGTCACATAAAGTCTTATGAAGTCTCATGAAGTCTCATGAAGTCTAATGAAGCTTAATGAAGTCTATTGAAGTCTTATGAAGTCTCATGAAGTCACTTGAAGTCCTATGAAGTCTCATGAAGTCTAATGAAGTCACTTGAAGTCTCATGAAGTCTAATGAAGTCTAATGAAGTCTCTTGAAGTCTAATGAAGTCTCTTGAAGTCTAATGAAGTCTCATGAATTCTTCTGGGAGTTTTGAAATACATTTAGTGCTTGAAAATTCATAAGAAACCAATGAAATTGTCTTGTTTTCGATGGTCTTATTCTAGCAGAAAGGCGAATCTTTTATTGTTTTTTTTTCAATGTGCTGGAAAAAAATTCAAGTTTATTGGATCTTAGAAAACATGATAGTTAATAACTGAATACTTTTTGAATGAAGTGGGTTATTTTCATAAGAAATGTTCCATCCATTCAATGTCAATCTTATGAAGAATTTTATTCCTTTTTGTTTGTTTCTATCACTCATGAAATCTATCAGACGATAAATGGCTAGCTTTGTCGGTCAATAACCAACAAGCCGTTCGCATGTGTATAAATTTAGTCTTGTTATTTATTTGCACCCGAAAATAGGAGTTTTTCAATGCTGGATTAATCGAATCAAATATAAGCATCCCGGTGAAGTTTATTTTCTCAGTTTTAATTTCATCAACGCTTTGTATCATTGCCACATCTTTATTCGAGATATAGATATACTGCGAGAAACAATTCTCAGAAACAAGAAACACATTTATAATCTATATATGATAAGTTTTGTTTTTTGCATGTTATAGAAGTTTCATGTAATTTCTATAAGGTTCTTTGATACGCATGGAATCTGCCTCTTGAAGTCTTATGAAGTTCTATGAAGTTTTGTGAAGTCTAGCGAAGTCTTGTGAAGTTTTATGAAGTCTTATGAAGTTTTGTGAAGTTTGGGGAGTCTTGTGAAGTCTTGTGAAGTCTTATGAAGTTTTGTGAAGTCTGGCGAAGTCTTGTGAAGTTTTATGAAGTCTTGTGAAGTCTTATGAAGTCTTATAAAGTCTCAAGAAGTCCTACAAAGTCTGTGAAGTCCTACAAAGTCTGTGAAGTCTCACAAAATCCGTGAAGTCTCATGAAGTCCGTGAAGTCTGTGAAGTCTCACGAAGTCTTTTGAAGTCCTTTGAAGTCCCATGAAATCCTATGAAGTCTTGCGAAATCCATGAAGTCCTTTGAAGTCTTTAGAAGTCTTTTGGAGTCTTGTGAAAATATGAAGTCACTGTGGTTGAAGTTCCTAGAAGTCTGTTGAAGTCTTGAAGTCTTGACGTCCGCTGTTTCCCCCTTGAGGGTATCCCCCAATAGTAGGACTTGAGAGCCCGACTGTATCCCCCTAGAGTAGAACTTGAGGACCCAAGGGTACCCTACAATAGTAGGACTTGAGGACCTGAGGGTATCCCCCTATAGTAGCATTTGAGGACCCGAGGGTGTCCCCCAATAGTAGGACTTGAGGACCCAAGGATACCCGCTTATAGTAGGACTTCAGGACCCAAGGATACCCGCTTATAGTAGGACTTCAGGACCCAAGAGTGCCTCCCAATAGTAGGACTGGAGGACTCGAGGGTATCCCCAATAGTAGGACTTCAGGACCCAAGGGTACCCTCCAATAATAGGACCCTTAACCCGTTCCCGGGTGTGGGTGTGGGTGTGGGTGTGGGTGTGGGTGTGGGTGTGGGTGTGAGTGTGGGTGTGAGTGTGGGTGTGGGTGTGGGTGTGGGTGTAAGAAAAGATCCACACCGACACCCACACCCTACTAGTAAATGTCGTGGCCAAGGTTGCAATGGAGCTGCAGCAATGAGTAGGATCTATGATGGTCTTGCAGCCAATATAGATTCGAAAATCGAAGAACGCACACTTTGTTCATTGCAATACACATTGCCTTGACTTGATATTACAAGATTTAACAAGAGAATTTGCTCGAAAATTGTTGATCGATTCATCAAGTGGTTCCACGAGAATAAAACCGTTGTATCCCACTTGATGGATAGTTCGGACATCATTGATGAACTCTTCGTCGATCAATTATCAGCTTATCAAATCTGTCATGCATGTTTTAATCGAAAAAAATGGTGAACTAGCAATAAAATTGGCTGGCCGGCTGAACCAAACGGAGAAATTTCAAATTTATTTTGGTCTGAAATTAGATGATTTCACTTTTTTTCTTTTTTACTGGCAAAAACCGAAGTTTAAATAGATGATAAAAAAATTGCACTGTAGATAATAGAAAATTTGATTTAACATGCAGGTTGTTTTATCATTCGGATTTGTACAACACAAACAGTTGTCGTTGCACCATTAACATGCAATCAGTCAACTTTAAAATATTTGTGCAATACATAATATGCATACAAAAAGCATTTTTATGTTAACAAACTAGTATCATAGAGATTATTCATCCAAAAGCTGTGAAACTTTGTAGGCAAGCTAATCTGATTGTGATCTTGTTATAGGGAAAGTTTTAGATCCAAATTCGAAACTTTGTGTTTACCGAAAAAGTAGAATTGTACAAAAATATTATAGTGAAAAACTGATGTTCCAGCCAAATTGCAACTTACACACATATCCTCTTAATCTTTTTCTCTTGCTTTTTAACAACTGAAGACGTTTTCTCGTTAGAAAAAGAATGTACACAGGTGTGCAATTATATGTTGACGTACCCAAAAAAAAATGAAAACCACCTATTTATGTATCAAAAACAGTGGTACAATTGTTTTATACACAAATACGAGAGCCGAAAGTGCACGTAGAAATGAATAGGCAAAAAGTCGAATCAATAAATGAACTTAAATATCTAGGATTTATATGAACAAATAAATTATCCTTGAAATCAACATTTAACAGATGTATAGGAAACATTCAGAAATCTCTAGAACAGGTTAAATGATTAAGAGCAAAACGTTTCATCTTCACCGAGTCACTTGAACACGGGTCTTTTTTCGCAAGTATATTTCCTGATTTTGCATAGTTATTTCCCATCTTTCTCCTGCTTTCTGGGTCACAACAATAATTATTATAGCAAAAAGGGTGTGGGTGTCGGTGTGAGGAAAATGTACACCCACACCCACACCCCACACCCATACCAACACTCACACCCCACCCATATCCACACCCACCCTACAAGTGTGAATACATATTAAAAAACAGCATGTGGATGAGCTTTTCTGGGATGTCAATACAACGAAATGATTTATGCTGGTTACATTCATTGTCATCTACTGATTCATACTGTGAGAGATTAATGTTCTTGAAGAAATCCAACACGATTGGCAAATATCCGCCGTCATACTTTGTCTTGTCATGCCACATCGAGAGCATAATATTCCAGCTAGTTCAACATATGCTGGAGGTTCAACGTATGCTGGAGGTTCAACGTATGCTGGAGGTTCAACGTATGCTGAAGGTTCTACACTTGCTGGAGGTTCAACACTTGTTGGAGGTTCAACATATGCTGGAGGAAGAGTAACTTCTTGTTGCGGGAGGTTCGACATTGACCGCGTAGGATTTTCATTCAAATGATCTGTGACATTGTGATAAAAATCAATTACTAACTGAAAAGACAAGGAAAGAAATGAGATAAAATGAATAGTACATATGTTCAAAATATTGTCCACACGAATCAGTAAAGATTTTAATATGTTCTCCAGGCTTCTCTCGTACAAGCCACAAATATGTCGAGTAGATTAGGTGCACATAGTCTTTATTTTCGCTTCTTTCAATTATTGATAAAAGTATAAGGATCGAAATATGCTGTACTATGTATCGTTTTATTAGTACTCAATTCTTCAAGCAAAGTTCTCACTTTATTTCGACAAGAATCTATTCAGAAGTATTTCAATTATGATAAGTATTCTGGACAAATTTCCATTTATTTTCTAGTTCAATGAGACACCTTTATCGATGTCAGCAACTTCAAGGTTGATGACTGAGATTGAATAATCTGAGAAGGGTCCGATCGTACCGTATAACATCCGACAGTCCTACAGTATTCAATAAAATCCCCACAGTCGCACTTCGACGGGTCACATGTAAGATCATACCAGATTCCGCTAATTTTAACTCTTTTGGCCAATTTTTATACAAAAAAAAACTGTTCTATCCTCAAAACAGACTTTCCCTAATCGAGAAAAACTCAACTCAAAAATTTCGACAAATGAAATGCATTTTTATGCAAAAGCCAATATGACTCATCATTATACAAAATTCGTAATGGGTCATAATAGGCTAGGCGAATTGATTTGTCATCATAGGCAAGATGTTCGACACCTATACATACCTACATAAGTGTCCTGGAAAAAATTGCGTCAGTCATTACGAAAAGATCGTTAGATTAAGATTACTCATGAGTGATGAAATATTGTTACCAGATGGTAGCTTACTAAGTAAAAAGTTAAGCACTTCTTCAGATATAAATATATATTTGTGGAGTTCGGGGTAAAAGAATTGGAATTCACTATGCATTATCGAAATTTTCGAGTTGATTTTTCCAGTAAAAGAAGTCCTGTTTTGAGGAAACAACGATATTTTTATGAAATCTGACTAAAGAATTTCGGAGTCCAGGAGGTTCGATTTGATTAACTCGTTGCCGAAATTTTTCGAGTTCAAGTTTTGAGTTAGTGAGTGTCTGTTTCCACGAAACAACAGGATTACATTTCAAGTCAAGCAACCACACAGACAGAATTTTTAGATTTCAATCGTGGATCATATTGCTTTTTTTAAGAATTCCATAAGATTCCAACATTGGAGATCTAAATTTGATTCCTGCAACTGGATTGACGAGATTCATACAGGATTCTAGCGGGTTTGATTGCTTCTAATGGGATCTTAAGAGATCTGACCGAATTGTAATGGCGTCTCAAAGAGCTTGATCAAATCCGACTGCGCGATTAATCAATCTGGAGAGGCGAAATGACTTACGTGAGGTGGGATCCAATACCTTCTACGCTCTGCCATACTAATGGGGCCAGTTCCTCTTGCCAGTCGCCATGTACAGGATACTGGTGATCGCATCGAATATTTTGCTGATTCTTTAGCAATTGCTTCTTGGAGTCGATTTTCACCCTCGGTCACTTTCACACACCATTGATAACAAAAACAAATCGGGAAAATAAGCATTATACCCAATCCACCAAAGATGAGTAACACACGAAAAGCAGAATATTTTTGGTCCATAGCGAAAATTATTATTAGGCCTCCTAGGAAAAAGCCTAACATCCAGACAATGAAAACCATATAGGGATTTAGCAGCGAGACATAGACGCGATTAATATTAGCGATGGATTGTTGATATTCATCTTGACTAATAATGTTAGCATTCTGGAAAACAATAGGATAGGTACGATCGAAACCACCAGTATCTATCCATATAGGAACTGAGCGGAAACTTGAAGGAACAGCAGTCATTTTTGATTGAAATTAAACTGAAAAAGCTGTCAGTACAGTTACTGATAGATCTAAGACAAACAACTCGGAGACAAATGATATATTAACAAAGAACAAGAGTAGAACTGAGTGAGTCAAGGAAAAAGAGAGGCTGACAGGTACAATAATGAAAAAATCGAGAATAGAGTTTGTCTAGAAAAAAACGCAAAATTTTATATTTAATAGTAGTCGTCAGAGAGTCGAGTCATATCTATGTAACCAGAGATAGTTCTATTTACTCTATAGTTTCTGAATTACAAAATAATTGAATGAAAAACTTCATATTTCTAAGACGCTCAAAGTTTGAAAGTGTATCTATGATTTTGATTAGCTTCGTTATTTTTCCTTCGTGTTGACATTACCAGAGTTTTGTCAGAAATCAAACAAAAGCTGAAAACGCAAAGTTGCTTTCCTCGGGAGCAAGAATCAAATACTTCTAGTTCATTGTCGATCTCTTTTCAGATTGAATGACAGTAGAATCCTATTATCCCTAGTGTGCTTACTGACACCAGAAGAAAAAACGCCGACTTCAGGGAAAAAGCACTGATGATAAGCATAAAAGCGAAAAACAATCATAAGGATTGCAAGTCCAAAACAATTCTCACTGTTTTGTCATGAGAGGAGAGGAACAAGTCGAGATATGGCAACTCATTTAGTAGCAGAGTGTAACGACAAACTGAAGGACTAGCTCACTGTCGCTCTCGGTAAAGATGTTTATTGACCTATTTCGTATCTGTAGAATGTATTTACTTCACAATACAACACAAGCTTGTATACGAGAGAGAGAGATGAGCAAAGGAAAGAATAATAAACAGAGAATAGGAACGAAAGAATGTGATGAAGGAGGAAGTGATAATATCAATACCGACACACAGAGCATATAAGATAAAAAACGACGACCCTTTTTATCGTTCCTTCTATTTATTCCACCACCGTCGCTAGTACTGAAAGAAATGGTTACTCATCGACAATGATGAATGTAGAAATTACGAACAGCCATTCCTCTGAAACAGGATGTAATGGGAGAAGATAGGAAAATATAGCTAGACATCAAGCGTTTATCCAAAAATGGCGATGGAGAGACGCCACCAGAAGGAAAAAGATGATGCTTACTGTGTATTTCTTTTCATGCGAACTTTATGTTCTCCTTCTACTAGAAAAAAGATAGTTTAATAAATTACATATTTACTATAATATAATAGAATATAACTATATCTTTAAGGAACTCATTATTTTCTTTTTTCTTATTCCATATTAAGAAAAAACGATGAAAATATTAACTGTAGTATGATTATCAATAAGGTAAATTTGTGTCTATTCTTTATGAAGTAAAGACATTTTCTTTTCTGTTCGATTCGGTAGCAGAGAAAAAGAAGAATCAGAGACGAGTGTAGACTTGCTTGCATTTCTGTCTAATCAATACTGAGTGTGTAGGTGTTAGCGTCAACAGATATTACATAGTTGCCGCTAACTTTTTCACTTCTTTTTTCTCGTTCTCCTTTAGGTAACCTATGTAAGGTTCGATATATATGTCCATATTATTATTGTTATTATACATATATATATATATATTTCTTTTTTTTTCTTTCTCTCTCTCTCGTCCAGTTATATGAACAATTATTATTAGAAGTTCAGTTTTGTTGTGTGTCTTGTATTGTCGAGGTCACCATCTTCCTTGAATAAACTACACGTCCTTAATCTGAACTTATGTTATCTTCTTTTTTATAACCAGTTACAAGACAAGGTAGGATTACTAACATAACTAACCTAACTAATACAGATCTTAGTTTTCTTTTGATTTCTTCCGATCTATTAACATTTAGTGGGTTGGAGATTTGGAAATAAATAGAAAACTAACAGTAGGAGTACCAGAAGTCATTCTTAGTTGTTGACAAAATCTTCTATGGGAATTCTAAGTGATCATCTTTATCTTTTTTTTTCGATTGATTGTTGTTCCAGATAATACAATGTCTTGTATTCTTCATCGATTTTTTAGAAAACATTGTAAAATTTCAAGTCATACTGATATTTAATTTGCAGGAGATAAAAATGTATATTTTATGTTGAGACGAAATTTAATTATTTAATTGATAGACTTAGTTTACCTGGAAATTGTGAGAAGGTAGCTGATTACTTGACCAAATTGCTAGTCAGAGAAGATTATGTTACACGCTTATGAACGAGAATGGAATGGAATGATTTATTGTTTAAAGCAGCAAGTATATATATATATATGTGTGAACAAAGAAAGGTGAAGAATTCTGTGGAAGGTGAAGAGGTCACCAGAAGAAAGAAGAAGGCGAATACACACACATATATGTATAGAACAAAAGATATAGGTGAAACAAATATGACGTCGTAGCAAAGAACGGCAGAGATGATACACATATAATGATGTCACTTAGCAAACTGTTAATCTAGCATTTACTAATAATCGATATGATTTCTCTTCTTTCTTATAGAATAAAATCGAACTAATAGTGCTGCCTTATGTATACTCGATTCTTTTAAAATCAACAATATATTATCGTATATAAGTCAAAGTATGTGATCACCCGTGAGTTTAAAAGGTAAAATATAGCCCTTCCGGAGAGTGATGGTAGATGTCGGGATCTCTTTGCTATCATCCTCATACACCCACTCACTCTCAACCTCAAGATGGGTGTGGGTGTGTGGGTGTGGGTGTGCGGGTGTGGGTGATCTGTTCATCCACACTCCCACACCCGCATCCACACCCACACCCACATTCACACACCCACACTTCCACACCCACACCCTACCCGCACCCACACACCCTCAGCTATTAAGTTGGTCTGTGAGGCTTCTATCAAGCGAGACAAATACACGTTATCTCGTAAACTATTGATCTGGGACCCTTGGAAATTCTTGGGAATACTTGTGATGAACTCTCCAGGGGCTCATAACTAGAATTAGCGTAATAGCTGAGGGGAAGGGGGTGGATAAATGTATTTGTCCCAAATATATTTGTACTTTAAGTCATAGACATTTCATCAAGGATATTTTTGCGAGGACATTCTAAACTGGTAACTGAATGACAATGATAAAGTTGACTATATGAAATCATATTTACCATGTCGTGCGAAATAATCATGGTAATGAATTGTTTTTGACTATACTGAAGTTTTATTCATGACATCCATGCATTTTTTTTGTGATTTTCTTATATAATGTTTGCGGACGCTTACGAAATGCAAAATGAAGATAGCATACAGAGAATAGAAACACGAGAAACAGATAACGAAAAAAAAACAAAATCGAGGGAGTGATGATGAGATTTTTTAAATGTATTGGTTGTTCTTTTTTTTGTCTATTCTTCCATTATCGTACATGTTGTCATCACGAACACCATGCCGAAGGAAGGAATCATGGTAATGGATATTGTACAGTCGATAAAGAAATTAGTGAAATATCTTATCAACATTCTTTCAGATATTAGCGACAATATGTTATAATGGTGATGAAATAATCTACTTGGTAAGAGTTTTTTTTTTTGATAAAAATATCAAAAGAAAGCTTCTTTATTTGTATATGTAACTTTTAAGTAAAAGCAACGTCTCTCTTATTCATTAATAAAGAAATATAAATAGTGATACTAGAATGTTGGCTAGATAAAAGAATCAAGAAATTTTTTCTAAATATTTATTTTCTCGAACTTGTTAATCGGTTTTAGGTAATCTGATTCTATATTTGATAAGAGTATAATCGAATATATAAAATAACGTTGATTTTTGTTTTCTAAGAAGTGTATAGTATTCAAGAATGAGCAAAGAGTCTCTCTCAAATAGATCATCTTAGAATATTGTCTAGAGTTGCATATGTAGTTATACTAACGAAATAGTCGATAGAAATTCTGTAAAAGACACATTCATTGGTATGAGAGAACATTTTAATGATAAACAATCTGATGAGGAAATCTTTGATCAATTTTAATTTCGAACTAACATACAAAATCGTGTCATTTGTCTTTTTCTTTTCATAATAAAAAGTTCGTTTTCATTCAACTCTGATGAGTGAAACAGCGAATATTACCACCAAGAACAAGACAGTAAGTAAATAACTCTTTAACTCTATCGGTACTAAGAATGAAGTGTACTAAGCTTCCAATGTTTCAGGTGAACGTGTCTCAAAACAAGATTGATAATCCACTTTTAGTTTTGATAATTGATTTAATATTCTTCCTTTTTTGTAATGTTGTATTGATGCACTACACATTTTTCATCATTTTGTGAATAAAAAGAGCAAATATTGACGCTTGATCTGTGTAACACATTTAACCCTTTGGTTACGGGGTTTTTTTTTAAGATGAATCTTTTTTTTTTCGTTCTAAAACAGTCTGAAATAACTTTTATTAGTATATAGAATTATTTAGAAGTGTTTTAAAGTGTGATAATCCTCAAAACAACCTATCACACAAAGCCCAACGTTACAAACATCACACTGATAACGTGTATTGGTATTCTTTTTCTCGCGTCTGCTTGTATGATTACAAACTATACAAGCTCTTCGTCCAATGTTTCCTGTTGCTGTTGCTGGAACTAGAGAAGGAAAATGACGCGCAGTAAGACGTATAGGATTATCTCCGATAATCGGACGACCAATTGGATGTTTGGGCTCAGCATATCTTTCAATCGATTGCCGGATCAATTCAGTTCGAAAATCACCAAATTGAATAGTTTTTTTATGCTTTACTTTGAATAGTATATACGCGTTCAAGGTTGATAAATCCAGCAGATGAAAGAAAAATTTTTTGTACCACTTGACAGTTTTTCGTACGCATTCTATAAAACTGATCTGCATATCAGTTTTGTCAACTGAGCCCATGTTTTCGTTATAATCAATAATACATTCTGGTTTTGTAATTACTTTTTGAGTCTTCCAGTCATTTTTTCGTGTTGGGATCATCTTCGGTTTATGAATTGTAGATAACATATTGACTTCTCGTTTGTCTTGCCACTTCAATGCCATAAGAATGTTAGTGTTGTTATAGTCGAAATCACCTTTCGTTAGTTGACTGAACTTGACTGGACCAAGACGATTTTTGCGTACAGTTCCACATGCACCGGTTTTGAATTCATGTAATTTTTCAAATAGACGAGGGCTAGTGTACCAGTTGTCGAGAAAAAGTGAATGTCCCTTGTTCAAATAAGGCTTCATCAGAGTCATTACTACGGAACCGGATTTTCCTAAATTTTTATCCAGCTCGAATTCTGTAGAAGAACCAGTGTATACAATGAAATCCAACACCACTCCTGTTTGGCAGTCGCAGATAACGAATACTTTGATGCCAAATCGATGACGTTTAGTAGGTATAAATTGTTTGAAGGCCAAACGGCCCTTCCAAAGAACGAGACTTTCATCTATGCATAGGTTTTTGTAAGGAATAATAAGTAATTTGAATTTCTTTCATAGCTCATTTATTACTGGTTTGATTTTATGCAATCTATCGCCCTCCACTTGATTTGATTTATTGCTGAAATGCAAGTATTTCAAGAGCATCATAAATCTGTCTCGAGAAAATAGTTGTCCAAACATAGGTGTGACAATCATTGGATCAGTTGACCAGTAGTCGAGGATCTTATTTTTTTTAGTTACAGCCATTAGCATAATGGTGGCTAGAAAAGTATATATTTCAGAGTGATTTGTCGGTATCCATTTAGCCTGATGCGAAGCTGTATTATGTGTTGTATCATTGGTAGAAAAGTCGTGATACTTGTTCGTTTGTTCTACAACGATGTCAATCATTTTTTCGTCAAACAATAATTCGAAAAAATCAAGAGGAGTATCGCTCTTCATAGCGCTTATGTTTGATGAAATACCAGAGGTTTGTTCGTCGAAATGGGAGAGATATGGTTCGAAAGCAGTTTTACTCCAGTTCCGATTTACAGATTGTTCTTTTCGTACTAGTTCGTCGTCTGATTCGTTACTATCCACGTCTGATGAGTAAACTTCATCAGTATCCATTTCAGAACTATCTTCAGATCCACTATCCATCTAGATTTCATGAGGATCATCATTTGTAAACGTTGCCATCTTTAACGAAAAATTTTACGTAAAAGATATGAATAATAAATTGTTGATATAGAAGGGTGTGGGTGTGGGTGTGGGTCCGCGCCCGCCCACACCCAAAAATTCAAGATTTATACAAAGGCCCGATTGGGCAAAACTATCATACACTACGCTGTAAAATAATACATAACCTGTCCTCATATAATCTATCTCCTGCTGAAGAATGCCTTCTATGCAGAGGTTGGGAATTCTGCATAGAAAACAGAATCAATAATCCTACTGAATTCAAAACTGATATAGAATTAAATGTTGCAAAACTAATAAGTCATTGCCATCCTAGTGTATTCAATCAAATCTGTCGAAAAATATATAATTATTCAGATACATTAATTACAAGAACTAAAAGAAAGAATATTAGAAATATAAGTGACGAAGAGTTCACCGCTATCAAAACCCTTAAAAATAACCATTATATAATAATATGTAAAGCCGATAAAGGCAATGCGATTGTTATTCTAGATAAAAAAGATTACATCGAAAAAATGAAACAGATTTTACAATTTAAACAATTTAAACAAACTCATGAATCTCTTCTTACCGAAAAAGAAAAAACGATGAATACCTATCTCCAAAAACTTTATAAAGAAAACGTCATTACTAAAGAACTACTCTTTCGTCTTCGATCCACATCCTCCTCCCTCGCGACCATGTATGGTCAGCCAAAGATACATAAAATAAACTACCCTTTACGTCCTATAATTTCCTCAGTTGGGGCATATAACTATGAATTGTCAAAACATCTAACAACTATCATAAAAAACAATCGTCCATCTCTGCCCTCCTCCTATATTCGTGACTCCTTTGATTTTGTCAAACAAATAAAAGAAATAAAAGATAGTACAAATCAAACAATGGTAAGTTTTGATATAGATAATTTGTACACGAATATACCGGTACAAGAAGCAATTGAAGTAACTCTTAATATGCTATATAATAAAAAAGACACATCACTTCAAATTCCATTTAAAAGATCAGAATTTAAAAAACTTTTAGAAATGGCTGTACACAAAGTACCCTTTCGTTTTCTAAATACCACATCCATCCAAGAAGATGGGGTAGCAATGGGTTCCCCACTAGCCCCCATCCTAGCTGATATATTTCTCTCAAAACTAGAATTAAAAATAAATAAATTTCCAACTAATAAACCTCTTATTTGGAAACGTTACGTGGATGACGTTTTCTGCATATTTACTAATTCCCAAAATATTCCAGATTTTCTTAAACGTATAAATAAATGGCATCCAAATATACATTTCACAGAAGAACCCGAACAAAATAATCAAATACCGTTTCTTGATGTCCTTATCATTCGTGATAACACAACCAATACCTATACAACAACACTATACCGTAAACCCACAAATACTAATCTCTACCTTCTCTATGAAAGCAATCAATGTAGACAATATACAATCGGATTAATCAGGACATTGGTTATAAGGATATTACTTATTTGTTCTACTATAACACACAAAGAAACTGAACTAAAAACATTACAAGAAACATTAAGTTTGAATGGATATCCTGCTCACCTAATACGACGTGGTATACGTGAAGCATCAGTTATAGTAAAAAAATACAAAATCAAAAACCATCCACACAACAATCATCATCAAAAAAGAAAATATATTTTCTACTATCATACTATGGACATGAATCCACCATACTAGCACAAAGAATAAACAGATTATGTAAAAAGTTTCTACCTCTCTGTCATATACAAATAGCCTTTCGAAAAACCTTCACGCTAAAAAACATATTCCTTCCAATTCAAAAAGGACTCGATAAAAGTAAAAAACAGAAAAAACTAGTATATAAAATTCAATGCACTGATTGTGAAAAATGCTATATAGGCGAAACTAATAGAGAAAAAACAATAAGACTAAAAGAACACCAAAAAGATATTAAAAAAGTATCAGAAAAATCCAATATATCAAAACACGTACATAATCATAAACATTCATTTGATTTTGAACACTCAGAAACACTATCTCTAGAACCTAATTGGCACAGAAGAATAATCAAAGAGAGTTTATTTACACAAGAAACCTGTGGCAAAGCAATCAACGATGTAAAATTCAAACTAAATGTCTTTAACTAAATCTATCCATTCATATACTCACTCCCAACTCCTATATAACTAATTCACATCTATCTATAATTCAATCTTATCCTAACCCCAAAACAACAAACACTCAAACTATAATCCTCATCAATAAATACACATATACACCTCAAAAATTCTATCTAACTTGCCTGTAAACTCACTCCCAACTCCTATATAACTAATTCACATCTATCTATAATTCAATCTTATCCTACCCCAAAACAACAAACACTCAAACTATAATCCTCATCAGTAAATACACATATACACCTCAAAAATCTATCTAACTTGCCTGTAAACAAATAAAGACATAAATAAATAAATAAATCCACATAGCTCAGCCTTAATTTCAAGTACACACATTTACATCTCAAATCCACCATATCTGTTTCAATATATTTATTTCTAATTTACTTTCATCCTAACTTTCATAAATTATCTAGGTTTAACTATAACTCACAGGAGGTAAGTACACACATATATACATATATTAGATTCTCTTTACCTTGTTTTAAATCTTTGGCTACGACAATTGATTCTTACTTTAATATTAACTCACATAAATTACTTTATCTTCACTTTCAGTTTTAATAATTAATCTAGCTTTAACCCATATGACCTTACATTCATACTTAACTAATTATCATCCTTCAACTTAATACTCAACTTATTGTTATTATTATTATTTTTATATTTGGTGTTCAACTGCCATAAATCTAGCGTCTAATTTCAACAATTAAAGAAACTTCAACTTTATCTTTCATGAAATGAAATAATTAAATCAATAAACTTCCACATATATTTATTTCAACTTATATTCAATTCAACAAATAATGTTCAACAAAAACCTCAATGATCTTTTATTATTATTTTTAATATTTATTATTTTTTAAATCGAATGATACAACCATGATTATAATCTCAAAAATATTTAATAAAATAAAATCATAGAACTTATATTTAACTCGCCGAACGTGATAATTCAATCGAACATCATTAATCTTAGGCCCAAAAGGGCAAGTTTCGGTGACCAAAACAAGCTCCATGAACTTATTTTATAATAATTCGAATTATTATAAAATATTCTTTTCATTTCATAATGTAATTGTTATATCCTTTGATGCTAATTATGTTTGTTTCAAAGTTATATATTGTAATAACTATTCTGCTGTTCTTCAGTTCTTTCCTGATGATGATAATTGTAAATTATTGAAAGCTCGAAATAAACTCATAATTTTCGTAGAAAATTTTAAATATGTTCTTTGTTGCAGTGTTATACTATTTCATTAATTATTTATTTCCAACTGCATTAACCTCCAATTATATAAGTGCATTTCTACATTATCAACTCAAAGGATATTTCAAAAGTGTGCCATTGAAGATGCACAAGATTTTATTATTTCTGAAATAGAATTGTTTATTTTAAAGATAAAATCATGCAAAGTTTCACATTCTATTCATAACGTTCATTTTCCAAGTCGATCATTGAAGGTTTCGATTTAAATATAACTTTTAGTTTGTTAAGTCAGTTTTTATACGAATTAATTCATTTAGCGGATGATGCTTTGACTTATAATTATCAATTACAACAACAACGTTTAAGAGTAAAAGGAAGAATGAGTCAAATTCATCCTCGTGTGTTTAATTAAAAAGATTTTATTTTTGAAAATATTTTATTCATAGGTCAATGTGAACAAGTGCGAACAGTATTACAAATCTGCAAAGATCAACAAATATCTTCAATTGTTTCATCAGTTGAACAACAAACATTAGAATAATTTTATGAAATTATTTGCATTAATAACGTCAAATAAAAAACTATATTATATTAAACTTAGTCTAATACCTTTCTATTATTAGTAGAATAACAAGAATTTCAAATAGTGTCCTACGTGATCGTGCATAATTAAAATTGTTTTTCGTGATCGTGACCGTGATTGAGAAAGAAAAGTTCGTGAAATGGTTGTAATTGTAATGTTTATTTCGTGATCACGATCATAATATATACATTCGAAATCTCAACTACTTGTCCAGAAATTTGATGCTTCATATCCACATAAAAAAAACAATCTAACAATTAATATGCTACTTTTAACAAAAATGGCAAATGATGCGCATTAGCTGACCACATACTATTGTATAAAAAAGCAAAATTGATGAGAAAACAATGAGAAAATTATGTATTCAAATAATTTGCTCAGCATTTTCACTATCCAACAATAACCCTCTCTCTTGGAGCGAAATCAGCATTGCTTCTAAAAATGAACATAAGGCAAAAATTTTTATTCATTCAAGGCAGTTTTGCGAGTACAAGTAAATAAAACAAATGAATTGTCAGTATGGTTGTCTAGTCTATTTGACTGTACTTAATGGAATAGGCGACAAAGACGACTCGACTGAGGATCAACAGTTATTATCGTGTCACTACATACAATATAATATTGAGGATCGTGATCCTCATTTTGATTCAAACCAAGTTCGTCATCGCGATCGTGATTTCGATTCAAATAAAGTTCCTGATCGTGAACGTGATCGTGATAGTTATTAAAATAAAATTTCGTGATCGTGATTGAGAACCTTTTTTTCTTCATGAGGGTGGGTATGGGGTGAGGTAGGTATGTTTAAAGAGACGCATACACCAATAATCGATCCACACTCGCAACCACATTCTCACCACCCACGCTCACACCCCATCCCACGTCCTCAAGCTGATCTTATCATGAATGAAGTCTCCAGTTATAAACTTCAAATTGATACCAATGTCGATAGACTCTAAGCAGGGATACCTAATCTAAGAATATATCAAAAAACGCTTTTAGACTGAGAAATTATGAATGAGGGTGTCACTATCAACGTAAAAGTATTTTAATTTTATCTCAAGTCATACATCCTTTTGAGAGATTTGCAGATATAGGTTATTATCAGAAGAAAATTCTCTACAAGATGCAGTAGGTCCCATCGCTGGCGCAAATACTTTTGTATAAAGTAGTATGTTTCAGATGGATTTACTCTACTTAAAAGTGTTCTATACATGCTTACATTAGAGAGTCCTTAGTGTACTGATCTGAAGACGTAGGATATCTTAGTCTCGACAATTTCTATTGATTCCACAGCTTATTTGTTCGATTCCATCAATCTGTTGATGAAAAAAAAACAATTATTACTCTTTCTTAATTAGCACAAATATAACATATCGAAAAACAGATTTAAGATGTTATTTTTTGCGACGCCCGTGATAAGGAATATGTCATGTTTTCTATGAGGTGTTATTCTTGTTTTATATAACATAAGACATCCTGGTTTGATGTCTTCGCGCTGTCGCTGTATTTCAAAACGCAAACGTACGTCTGACTGTTATCGGAATTTGAAAAAAGACCATCGGGCAAAACGCTTATCACTTTTAAACGAAGATAACTAGAGCCCTGCGGTTGTCACCATTCGAAAGGGGAGACAAGGGAATACCTTTTTCTTCAATATTGCATACGACAGAGTCATTCAAAAATCAGTCGTTTCTACAAAACATCGAAAAAATGCATGAAAACGATCTGTGATTCCGATGGAATTTTGGTTCTGACATCTGATCTAGATAGAGGAACTTCAAATGTATAGTTCAAGATATAATTCGAATGATTATCTTTCCACCTTCTAATGTTAAACAAATAAACTTGTCTATTCGATCGCACGAAACCTATAGAGTTCTTTTAATTTTTAAGCATATTTACTTTTCGTCAAAATTTCATCTGAATGGCAGACCATTTTTTATACATTCTTTCGATGTTTTGTAGAAATGACTGATTTTTAAATGACTTTGTCCTATGAAATATTGGAGAAAATGGCGTCCCCTTGTCTCCCCTTTCGAACGGTGAAAACCGCAGGACTCTGGCTATCTTCGTTTTAAAGTTATAAGCATTTTGCCCGATAGTCTTTTTTTCAAATTCCGATAATAGTAATAACTAGTTTTGATCAAATTTCTCCAAAAGTCGCTGTACTTTCTGCATGCATTCTTGTATACGAACGAAGTTTTGTAATTGGCTCAAAAGAGGATGTGTAGGTGGATGATGCTGTAATAATAAATCACGAGCTCGGCGATAATTCCATAATGCTGAATCGGTATTCTGGAGCTTGACGAAAGCGGAACCGATTGAAGTGTAGGCGTCAACAATTTCTATCGAGTTGGGTGGTAAGTTGCATTCTTCGATCACAGTACGATAATACGCAATAGCCATCGACAAGTCTTTGTGTTTTTCGTGATATCGAGCCAGTTGGCGAAGTACGTGCAGCTGAGGTTTAGTTGATTTATTAAGATCTTCTAGAAATTGCAGTGAGCGATTGTCATCGTTAAGTATAGGGATGGCCGAAACTATATTGTTCATGGCTGGTGACATGTGATCATCATTATGTAGCAAGGAGACAATAGAAGGAGCTTGATCTGTCCAGAAATGTTCCAATCCTTCCTCACATCTGCCTTGTAAGCTTTCGACGAAGCGTTTCATCAGTTGAAACTGTGAAAATATTGGATGTGATGATGGTATTGGGAGTGAAGATGCAATTTGTTCAAGTGGAACAAATAAAGATAACATTGACATACATGCGTCTGATAAGTTATCAGGATTGTCAATGGTCTCTATTGAGCTTAGTGATGATGAGAGGTTCGCAATAACATCTTGTAGTGTGGAGAGTGAATAACGCAAGGAGTTTGATAGATTCGGATAGTTTGCTAAGTCTTGCAAAAGTGGAGTCATTGTTAATAATAAATCCGACTCGTAAGGAATGACACGCTCAGAACTCACTGAATGCTCTATTGAATTCATGGAACAAATAAAAGAATAGTATAACTCATGCCAATCATTCTTGGTGTCTGATTTACGAAGTTTCAGCACTTGTTTCAATCTTTTGTAGTCGCCTGTTTGAGATAGAATGTCTACAAGCGCAGAGATATAATGTGATTCATCGTATCCATAAGGCATCTGTTTTAAAAAAAATGTTCTTAACTCTTTCACTTCAGCACTTTCCTCATGACACAGTTGAGCTTGAATATGCATATTTTTCTTTTCAGGATCGATCGTTTTTGATTGGATTTGCAAGGTAGTTCCCATTGATAGAAGCACTTCTTCTTCATCTGGAAAATTGCTGAATGCACTGATATTGGCAAATGGAGAAGAACTAGAGTTAAGCGAAGTTGAGTCGATTGAAATTTCGAGCATAATATCCCTTTGTGGATCAGGATCAGGACCCAGATACATCTTCGCAACTTCTAGGTCCTGCGAGGTTGACACGAAAGAATTTATAGAGACAATTGTCCCATTATGACAGGATCGCAGATAATTTCCTTCGACTGGCGAGACTTTCATGGCACGATATAACTTTTTTGTCGGTTGTTGGGCTACAAAATATTTAATAATAATACATCAATATGTTGATCTAGCTAATTATATGGTCCGATTTCTTTAAACTATGAGCAAAGTAAACCACCCCACATCATGAAAATAATCTTTTGCTGCTCTGTTTTTACTGAGAGACTGTCAATGATTTAATACTAAACTTACCATACGCCCAAAGTTCAATCGATTCGAGAATTCACAAAACAAGCGAAAAGTCCTCTTTCAAGAAATTCAGAAAGTTATCCTTAAATCTATCGGGTTGAGGATGGGTGTGAAACTCCTTTTTTTTAGCTATAGTCACATTCCACACTCACTAATACCCATACTTCTAGTCACTCAAAATTACAATCAGAACAAGAACAGCTCTTATTGTATCTAACAATATTTTATCAGAGTACTCGTATTGATGTAGCACTTACGCTTTCCTGTTTGTGCAGTTAAGTTCTGTTCACAATGTAATTTCATCAATTGTTTGTAGAGATCACATATGAAAGTACGAAATTTAAAAATAATGGCCAAATTCTGCGTACGAAAAGCTTTATTCATTAGTCGATACACGAATGAATTACCAGTATACCACTTTATAGCTTCTTCTTTCCGATAATTTTGTTGAAAACAATCAATCTGCGCAATCTGTTTCGGATAATTTTTGTAGAAAATGCGTGCTTCATCTAGCATTTCTCGATACATGTCTGTAGTTGGAGTTGGCATGCGAAGAAGGGCTTGTAGAAGCACTCCTGACCACAAGAAACGAGCGACGTTTTCTTTCGTGTTCTGAATCATCGACGTCTCATCAAGGTCTAGTACATTCAAATGTGTAGACTGGTTTAATTGGTAAATTCGTCCATCAATCAGAACTTGCTGAAGTAGAACCACAACGTCAGTGAACACTCCATGCACTTTTAGCACGCGTTTTTCCTCAGTTGGTTCACTGAGGTATATGCAATAAATCTGATCGAAATCGTCCAAAGTACGAATGAGATGATTCCAACCGAAGCCAAGCGATACGAAAATACATGTGTCTACTTCGCTCAGCGACAGCAGATATTGCATATAGTCGTCGGCGTCGTCGAATTCGTACACATTAATTCCAGCAGATTCTAATTGAAGTAAACTAGTTTCATCATTAACAACAGATCCCAAACAAAGAAGAGCAATATCATCTTCAGATTCAATATCATAGCTCATATTAACAGTGCATAAAGTCGCAATAAATAATCACTTTCTACCTTTTTATTCGAATTTTATATCTGATTCTTTGACGATATAACCATAAGATATCCGAATGGCTTATTTTACTCATTCTTTTTTTATGATTCTTGAAAACACTCAATTGCTGATAAAGAAACTCGTAAGAAAGCGTCGTATAAAATTGACATAAAAAATATCGATTGCTAAAAGATTAAAAAAGGGTATGGGTGTGGGTGTGAGTGTGGGTGCGGGTATGGCTGTGAATTGGGTGTGGCTGTGGGCGTCGATGCGGTTTTGATAAAGAGAAGACTCACACCCGCACCCATACCCTTTCTTCGCCCACCCACACCCATAATTAATTTTTATTTTATTCTAATTATGATTTCATTATATAATTTATCATATAGATCGTAGGTTCATATTTTTAATTTTATTATTAAACATTTTCTTATGAATTCGCTTTTTTCTGCCAAAAAACATCGAAACATTTTGAGACATAAAAATGTCGTTTTCTTCCTTATCGGTTTTACTACATACGCAGGCTTTCAGTGTTGTATAGCGTCTCCAGCTAATACTTGATGCAGTTTTCTTATCGCTATGATGGATGTTTGCTCTTTTGATTGCACAATCAACATTCTAATCACAATAAATCGTAAATACCATTCTTTAGTATTAGTCTGCATGTTCTGATTTGCTTTAATAATATGGCAACTGACTTTTGAAAACGTAAGTTTAGGGCGAAATAACGAAATCATAAATTATAAGCCATAGTTGAAATCGATCAATCCAGATAGAAATTCCTTAAAACAAAAGTTAGTTCATTCCTCTTCTTAATACACACATTTAGAAGAAGAAGGAGAGAACTAATTGAGCGTTAGTTGGTTAAATTTAGAGTGCGTCATCTCTAACTATCGGCCAGAAAAAATACAATTTATCTGTTCATATTCAGGTTTTAATTCCTTTTTAGAATTTCTCA